AGCCTTYAATTTCATTGGAGTTGAAGTGATTAGTCTAGTCGCTGTCTGCTCTTTTTGACGGAAAAGTACAGGTATTCTCCCTTTTTTGCCTTTGTTCCTGTTTGCTTCGATGGAGAATGTTCTTCTTATTCTAATTCGATAAATTAATGAAGTAGACCTGAAGTTATGTTACAATAAAATTGGGAAAACCTTGGTATTTAGTTCGGATTTCATTTTACTTTCGAGTTCATTTGAGAGTTGATCTCAATTGCAAGTTGGTAACAAATTTTCATTCATATATTTGGAATTCTTGATTTGTTTCTCGTTTGGCCAGTAATTTCGCCGTGCTTTCGAGGCTTCATTTCACTTTGTAAGCCTGTTTGAGATGGGAAAACACCAAAAAGATTAGAAAATAACTTGCAAACTATTTTTTGTCTAACTTTGGCAAAGATGCAACGTCTAAAATTGAAACAATGTGATGTATGGATAAAACTGAAGAAAATTACGAGTACTGAAAATGAAAAACTATTTCAACCCTCCTTGAATCATGGATTTACAAGTCTACCATTTCATCATCCACTGGAATTATCCATTCTCCGTCATCTCTTGCCTTACTTTCGATCCTTAATTCTGGAAATGTGTATATTTTAGCTATTACTTTTGATCCTTAATTTTGGAAATGTGTATATTTCAGCTATTTTCCTTAATAAAATGAAGAGAGCTACCTGATGACAAATCTGGGATACTGCTTGCACATGAGCAAACTTGTAACACTAGGAGTCTTGGTTTTTGGAGGGATTGTAATGCAGATTTTGGTTGGTAGAGTCTTTCTTTGACAAATATTTTTCAATGCTTCCACCATTTTGATATTGTAAAGCTTTCACATGAGATTTAATTATGTAGGATCTTTTACTAATTCCTCTCTAGGTTTCTGAATTCGTCATTGAAGAATGACATATACCTGCAACTCCAATTTCAAGAATGAGATGATGGTGGCTGGAATAAGCCCCCTAATATTGTCGCCGTCAATACGGAGAACTGTAACGTAGTTCTTGTTCATCGTTGGATCGTTGGCCAACCCTTCTATAACTTTAGCCACTTCAGAATCTGAAACAACGTCAACTAAACATTGTTCTTGGTTGGATCGTTGGCCACCCCCTCCATAACCTTGGCAACCTCTGAATCTAAAACAATATTTTCCAAAGCCTTGGTGACAGGAGAATTTATCACTTCCATAACTTCCACCACATCAGAGTTTGTCATCTTAATAATTTCCACCACAGAAGAACTCGCGCATCAATTTACCCACCTTTTTACAAGAATTTAGCGAGACAACAATGGAGGTAAGAAGTGGTTTAAACGCTCGTTTCATAATAAACCGACGAGACAATAATAAGTAAGAAAATTATTTTGAGAAAAAGAAAAAAATCGGAAAATCTGAGTGAACAAATATTTTCCATAATTAAAAAAAAAAAATCTGAAAATTGCATGTTGCTCTCTAAGAAATGTTGTACCCAAATATTTCTTTCTTAAATTTTCTTTCCACCACTGTTGATGGTCATGCCTCTCAAGTTCTAGTTTCTCGACTTGTCACGGTAATTTCCACCATAGAAGAACTCGTCACTCAATTTATGCACCTTTTATAATAATTTGGCAAGACAACGATTGAGGTAAGAAATGGTTCGAACGCCCGTTTTATAATAAACATGCGAGATAACAAAAAGTAAAAAGAGGTTTTTGAAAGAGAGAAGAATTGGAAAATATGATGAAATATCTAGGCATCCATAAACTGATGAAATAGATATTTTCATGGCATTGGTGAACCTAGACATCGTAGCTGTTCGTAAAGACAGTTGGAAGTCATAAAAATATCAAGCTAAGCTCCAAACCGCAATACAAAAGAAGGAAGGGTGAGCTTACCTAGGTCGGTAGAGGGAGAAGCTGCTTCATTAGACTTGGCACTTGGTTGTTGCAGTCAAATAAACCTGACTCCAACAAAAGTCTGCCACTCACCAACGTGCTCACGTTTTAACCTTTCTTGCAGCAATCTCTGAAGTACTTCAGAAACTAAAAGAACTGCCCTGTCAGATCTGGAAGCAGCTTGGGCGAAACTGCAAGAAATATGAAGCAAGGTTTGTTAAAGTAAGAGGGAAGAAAGGGGCTACCTAGAGTTAGCTAAGACCGAACTTACCCATGTTCCCGAACCTACGGGTCACTTCGAAGAAAGGCTCGTCCAACTCGTCTAGTGCAGGTCAGTCCTCAAAGGTGTAGAACCATTTGGCCTTCCACCATTTGATGGAGGACGACCGTCCCTTAATTATGATTCTGACTCTCTTTTTGATATAGAAGTAGAATCGATTGACCTTTTTGGACAACCTCTTAACCTCGTGGCAAGCCAGAAGTTGCTTGACATTAAGCAGTAGGATACCTTCTTCCTCTTGGCATTTCAGCTACCAAAGGACTTCTAAACCGAATAACATACCTCACGATATTTCTACCTGACATTTAAAAAACTTTAGATATAGTACCATCTATTTTCTTTATTTTTCACATTTTATAAATATAACATAGAAAAAAGAGATTAAAAAGTTGAGGTGAAATTCGAGGCTGGTTTAATAATGATTTTATTTTTTGGGTTGTGTTTTTAAAATTGCATTTTCACCATTTATTTGTTCACCAATCATAAAAACAACATTTGAACTTTTAACTAAATTTTAAAAATAAATAATAAAATTTTAAAAACTATTATTATTATTATTTATTTATTTATTTTAAATTTGGCTTAGACTTTGAACATATATATATATATAAAAGAGTATATAACTCAATAAAGAAATACATGAGTGGTAGAAAATCAAAAAAAAAAAATATTATCAAATGAGCTTGTTCTTTGTCTGGGATTTAAAAATCAACACTTTTTAACTCTTGAAGCTTAGAAAATTAATTTTGCTAATTACATATTTTAGTTATTAATATTTTAGTATTTTTTCAATTTAATCACGTTGTTTAAAAAGTTCCAATTTTGTTGGTTATGTTTTAATTTTTTTAGCTATATCATCTTGAAGTTAATATTAAAATTGATTAATAATAAATTTGCATGACACTATACTTAGTAGGTTGGTAGAAATTTAGAAGAGAAATGAGGTCAGTTACATTCACCGTCATCCTCCGAATTTTCAGTAGGCAGAAATCTTAAGTTTGTTTGGTTGGTCATTCGAATTATGTTTATTGTTTTCAGATTCACTGAATCACCTTGGACCACGCTTGACAAATTTGTTTTTTAAAACTGTTTTTGATTATGCGATCCAAATAGTGGAAATTTTGAAAACATCATTTTTACGTTTTCAGTTTTTTCAGCTTTTGAATTTAAAACTTTAAAATGCAGAATTACATTAAAAAATAAATAAATAACTTTGCTATAATATTATTGGATATTATAAACTCATTTCATTTTTTTGTGAAAATTGAAATAGGTAAAATATAATTTATTGTAAATTATGCAAGAATGTAAAGTAATAATTATACGAAATTTATAACAAAAATGTTAATAAATTAATTAATATTATTTTAGATTAAATTAAATATTTAATTGGCAACTACTACTCGTTTACAAATATATTGTTAAAGAGACGTTGAACAATTTTTTAAATTGAGATTCAATTTTCAAATCTACTACTAAATACATGAAAACAAATAATACAATTCTATTTCATTGAATCCTCTATTTTTCAGATTTCTGTTTTCTGATCACCAAAGCAAACATATCGGAACCTTTTTGTGACCTAATTTCTTTTTTAAATTTATGCCAACACATTAAATATTTTGTCTTATAACTTCTTATCAACCAATCTTAACATTCATCATCAACAAAAATGATATAATTGTCAAAATGAGCTTAGTTAAGCGGTAATTGACACTTATCTCTGACCAAAAGGTCATGAGTTTAAATCTTCATCCCTATTGTACTAAAAAGAATATATATAATTAATTAAAAATTTAAAACGTGAGAGACTAAATTAAAATTTTTTAAACAAAATAGGAACTAAATTAAAAAAAAATACTAAAATATTATAGACTAAAACATATGTTTAGCAATAATTTTAAATGATTTCTTGAGGTTTTTTTTTAATATTTTGTGAGGTGTCTTAATGATTGGGACTTTGATGAGATGTAATTTTAAATATAGTGACAAATTTTATTAAAGTTATATTATAATTTGCTTATGTGGCTTTAATTGCATCAACAATTAGGACATCATGATTCTTTATTGAAGCCTGCATTGAGTTGACTTGGACTTTGTGGTTGATAATTTTATTCCTCTTGAGCATATTTCTTTGTCTTACAAGATTTTATCACCAAATCAATTTCAGGCATATTAATTAGTGTGATCCCAATCAACAGTGGATCAGTTAGTCTAGAGAAAGACATTAAGGTAAACTTTTATACTTTTCAAGAAATCCTTGCTCATGTTAGTTATCTTAGATGAATTGAATAGATTGAGTGGATAAATTGGCTTAGTTTCATCTCTAGGGTGAGGTTAGACTTCGGATGGATTGAGTTGGTGCGCCTAGAGAAGATCATCTCACGTAGTTTGGTGGCTGAGCTAAAGAGTTCAAATAGACTCAAGATGCCACTGATAGCTACGATACAAGTTAACACCGAACTATCTCATGCAAACTGTCTATAACTGTCTAACTAATTCCGATAACCATTTACTAGACCAGAGTCGTGGAATCCACTGATCATTTCCTAAAAATAAATACACACTATGGTATGCATGTATGTAAACTAATTCTCAGACAAAAGTCATTTTTTTCAAAATTTGAATAAGTGTGAAATTAAAACCTAAAAAATTGGACTACTCATGAATATAATCCAATTTCAACTTGTCCTAACCAATCATATTCTCTCGTAGGGTGTTAGCACATAACATAGGTCAAATAGCTACTTGGAATGATAAAAGTTCTTTAGACTAGGTCATTGATCATTTCAACTCTGTACAAAATTCATTTAAACAATAGTTGGTAATGAAAGAGTTCGGATCTTTTTATATAACTGCATTTAAAGAATTTAGTATGTACAAGAATTGAATTTTTGTGTCAAATAAAAAACAAGGGAACACCCCTTTTCCTATACCTCAAATGAAACAGAGAAGAGAAAACAGCAAAGCACACATTATCAAGCTAAATAGAGAAACATTGCAATATTGGTGATCTACTTTTTCACTATGCAAATGGAAACTCTCAAGCTTCCTGTGTCTTAAACCCAGTTGTGTCTTCTGTGAGGATCCCTCGCATTAAGCGCAACAAACCTCCCCCGGAAAATCTCCACCATGTTCAAAACTAAACAATGAAACTGGTATCAATGACACTCTGACGCCCGTACAACAGCCAGCTAACTAGTTTCTGATAATCTACCTGCACTGCGATATTTACTTCTAGACATCACGGGTCCTCCTGTATGGTACGCTTTGGCTGAGGGGATATATGTAGCAGATGGGAGAACAACTACTAGTATGATTCTTGTATTCTCAAGCAGATTTCCTCAGGAGGCACTTCTTCATCACAATACTTTGCTAGTTCTCCATTTCCGTTGTAAAGTCGTGCAGATAACGAAGGAGATCCGGGGGTATGATTGCCTGCATATGTATTTGAAATGCCAAAGATTTTGTTTCAGTTCACATATCTTAATAACATCTGCAGATGAAATAGTTATATCCCACTTTACGATGCAACTACTAAGTTGTTTAACACACCTCTGAAGGACGTGCTTCTTTCGAAATCTTTGGTTACTTGCAGTAAAATGGTACCGGACAGCACAACAACAAAGCCACATATTTCAGAGATGATCATTCCTCCACTTTGGCCTTCCCAATCCTGAAGTTGAAGATGTATTTCTGAGTATTTTTATCATATTAAGTTTTTAAATCTTAATGACACATAATAAAGAGAGAATTAAATGCTAAAATACCGTCCTAGCCCACCTCTCCATTGATATCAAAGCACAGATCATGGCATGAATCCAAATTCAAATTTTCATTCATGAAATTCTATCCCGAAATTAATTATGCATTCATAATCGAATCATCTATTAAGGAAATCAAGTAACTAGAGGTCATTTGGTAATGCTTCCGCTTCTTGTTTCTCATTTTCCAACTTTTGAGTAACATAAGCATTTAATAACTATTCCCGTTCTTGTTTCTCATTTTTAAAAAATATTCCCAAAATTGTAGACAAATTTTGAGAACAACGAAAACAAATTTCTTTTCTTGTTTCGAAACCATAAATAAAAGTTATATTTTTTACTTATATAATGCATAAATAAATATGAAAAAGTTAAATATAACAGCACATTGTTTCATATTTTATTGTAAAAAATCAATTTTGATTCAGAACCTTTACCTTTTAATTTCATATGTGAGAGAACAAGAAACCAAAAACAATTACCAAACACACTTTTTTCATTTCTTCAATCAACCAGAAAGAATAGAAAATATGAACCATTACTAAACACAAGTCTGTTTTTCTTTCCAAGAAATAACATGAAAACTCACAAAATGCAGGTTTTTTTTTTCTCTTTCTAAGAAATGAGGTAATAAGAAACGAGAACGTTACCAAACGGGCCTCATATTACCAAATTCAACATATTAAAGAGTATATACTTCATACTTTCATAGCTTTTACCCATCTTTTTGGTGGGGATGCGGGTGCAGATGCTGGTAACAACTAACAAGTACACACACAAATAGATTTTCCATACCTTGAACATTATGACACTTGCAAGGATTGTAAGTGTTGTAAACATCACATAGTATATTGGGGAGACAATTGCAGTGTTGAACGTGTCAAGTGCCTGAAAAATTAAGTATATTATCAAATATGAGTAAGAGGCATCTAGTGATGTTCCATAGACAACTGATAAATCATCTTTCAGAAGTTAGCTCGGTGAACCAATAGAGAAATTGGAGAATTATATTAATTAATGCAATGTAAAGAAAAGCAAAGAGGACATAATAAACAATTGAAGAATCTGTAAAACAAATAAAATCACTGGGATTCATATACTTGAATTCTCATCAAGGATATGATTTCTCTTTCGTACTACTTCCAACCAGCCATATTGCCAGCAGATAAGCAAATGAAACTAATATCTTGATATCAATCATAATTGCTAATTGAAATTCCTTAATAAGTAGCAGATGGAAATAAAGATAGGATTTCAAGTACAAAAAAGTTGAACTCTTTTTGTTAGTAATAATGAGTATCTGATCCAATTTATGTAGACTTCAACTAATTCCATACAACTACCCTGTAATCCTACAACGTTGGAATCAGAAAATATTAACAGTTTCCGCATGAGATGGAGGTTTTGGATGTGGTCATGTCTCTCCTCCACTAGTTGCTCCATTGTTCTTAATGAAATGCCTAGAGTGGCTTCTAGAGGCATTCGTCAAAAGGATCTCTCGTCTCTCTTTCTTTTTCTATTGCTAACTGTTTCCACTTGCTTCTTGTACACGCACTCTACTTTTGTTAACGGTCTTATAGAGAAGGAATTCATATCAAGCATCTCCAATTTGTTAACAAAACACTTCAATTTTCCTTGGCTGGACCCCTTTACCTCAATTATTTTCATCTTTTAGAAGCCATCTGTTTAAAGGTTAACTCGACCAAATCCAGTGTTCCTAGAATTGACTGCAACATCTCCAAGGTGCAGCGTGTGGCTAATGGTATTGGATGTATGAATAATTGGTCAAAATTCAATGGCCAATTCAGTATTTGAGTCTTGGAAATCCGAAGTCAGAGTTGTTCTCGATGCCCATGTAATCTCTGATAATTTAAGCAAGTGGAAGCATTCTTTTTCTCGAAGGGGGCAGATTACTTTGATTAAGTTAGTCCTTTATACTCTTCCCACTTACTATTTCTCTATATTTGAAGCCCTAAATAGTGTTCTACTAAAGACTCAAAAAAATTTGAGGGACTTTCTTATGGGAGGACTTTGTTGAAGGGTCCATGGAATGCGATTTTCAAACTTTTACCCATAGTGATATAATCAAGGAGATGACTTCTTTTGTTGTGGTGATGATAGAAGGTACAGATTCTAGGAAGATCATTTCAAAGTGTTGCGATCTTGAGTCTTTGTCTTGGAGCTTTAATATGTGAAATAACCTTAATGGTGAAGAGACGAAGTAGTGAATTCTCTTATGAATTCACTTTGGAGAACTGGTATCCTTCCATAGAGATGTAACACTATGAACTCGGGACGTGTATTTTTTCTATAAGAAACAACACTTTCATTGAGAATAATGAAAAAAGATACAAAAAGATACAAGATCTAGAAAAAAGACCTACAAAAAGGGCATACAAAAAGACAGCCCTGAAAGAGGACGCCCCCAAAAGAAAAGGACTCCAGTCCAAAAGAATAAGCCTAATGGATAATTACAAAAGGGCTTAGAAACCGAGTTCATTGAGAATAATTAACTCGAGACCTGTTAGGCTCCATCACTCACAAATCGTAGAACTCTCGATCAGGAGGTTACAAAGGTCATTTCAAAGCATCCTTTTAGCCTAAGAAGATCAAGAGGCAGCAACAATTCAAATTGGATGTATTCTCCTACTAGAATCCTTCTTACGTCTAATTGTAGCTCTCTTTGGCACATGAAGTCCCTTGGTAAAGGGTGTTATCATTTGGAGAGGAAAGTAGTTTTTTAAATGTGGAGATTGGATCAACCTTCAACCTTCCGGAAGGCCTTAACTTATGCTCCGACATTTAGTTGAGGAAATAATTACAAACAAGTTTTGAAAGGATACACTAATTAGATGTAACAGAGAAGATAAAATCAAAAACATCATTGAAATCTCTATTTACATCAGATCCTTCTCTACTCCTTTCCTTCAAAATTTTCCAAATTACAGCAAAAATATAAAGACAAATTTCACAAAGAATTCCAGCTTTCCTTTCAAGTACAGGACTAAAAAGAAGTTTTCAATCTTTCAGAAAAAGCAAAGGGAGCAAAAGAAAACAACACATTAGAGAAGAAGGGAATTGCACCAACTAGTTACTATCTTTATTTTGTGAGACAGAGAACTCGAACATGATTTTAAAAGTCAAGCGACTGCATGCCAGTCTAAGAATGTCAAAAAAGTAGTACAAATTGCCAACCTTATTGAGATAATTCATTTGAATAATGACGCACGTAACCACCACCAACATGAAAAACCATGTCTCAGGGAAGATTAATTGGTTTTTTCCCTCAAAGGTCAATTTCAACGATGTCCCGAGGGCTTTAACACTCATAACCTGCAAATATTCAAGATGAAGTCTGCAGTTACTTTGAGATAGATTACAATCACACAGAAAATCAATTGACAGAATGAGAAAGCAATGCTAACATATCCTTTCGACTTAATTTTGGAAGAAAATTGGGTAGGATGCTTAAATAACGAATCATTTTCTTATTAAGAACCTTTGGCTTGTTAGCTATTTAACTCGTTTTAATCTAACAATTTTAAAAAAGAAAGACCATTGAATTTAGACAAGTAATGATACGAGTCACATTTGGAAGAAATCAAGAAGTGCTTATACTGAGAAATTTTGCCAGTATATTTTTTGGCATAAGCGAAAGTCCAAAATAGGAAAGAAATATCACAACAACATGCTAAAGAGGAAACAATTGATCCTTCAACTAAAACACAGAACTACAACATTCAAAGTAACAAATATAAATATCGAAGGAATATAAAGACAATAGATGAATCTTGTAAGTGTATAAAAGCCGAAGACATTTCACGTCATGGTAATTTCATAATAAGGAAAAACAGAGGAGAGGGAGGGTAGGCGGATAGTTAAGGGGACCGGGGTTGTATCTAGAGTTTCCTGATGTTAAATTCATTGTCAGGTGTAATAAGTTGTTTGCAAGATCAGTTGCATGGCATCTCAAGGGTCTAAACACTGTATATTGGACAATAAACTGTATCTCGTACTTAAAATAAACTAGATGTTATGCTAAGAAGCAACTTACCGAGAGAGAACCCATCAGCGAACATATTCCAGTAAACACCAACACATTGGTATGTCCACATCGCGGTGCAAAATGGATGGAAAGAATAAAAACCAATACAATCACAGAGCCCACGTATAGCAAAAAGGCTGAAAAACATAAAACGCATCAGTCAGCAATGAGCTCATAAATGTCAATGTAAAGAACAAAAATCGGACGAGCCTCAAGCCAGACGTTTAACCTGGCTGCATTGCCATATTCCATATTTCCTGTACAGAAGTAATAGGAAGCTCCATTGGTGCATGAATAACAATAATGACCGAACCTGCTATACACATCACACAGCCCAAAATCCCAAGTTTGTGCAACCTCTCCTTCAAGATAAAATGAGCCAACACAGCACTAGAAAACCCCATTTGAAGAATGTCAGAGAGAACTCTGTAAGCTAACACTACTAAGATGATTTTCGACATAATGGAGAAAGAACAAACACACCAGGCGAGAAATACCTTACGATTATACTTAATGCACCGAGAGGTGTTACAAGAACTGCAGGGGCAAATGCATATGCAATGAAGTTGGCAGCCTCGCCAACAATCACTGGATTACAAACAGTAAGAATATTGGAGATTGTATGAATATGATCAAATATGGGATCCTAAAGCAGAAAGTTACGAATTCAGGGGAAAGAGAAGGGGCAAATGAATACTAATTAGACAGTGGCAAACGGAACCTTTAGAATCTTGAATTCTGTCCAGCAAATTACTTCCAAATTTAAATTCATCCATATGTATGGTAAGAAAACATGTGAAAATTCATCATCATATCAACAATTTGGATGTAGAGAGTCAAAAATAATATCTCACTTGTGATCATTCCAACCCACCATAAAGGCTCCAGGAGGTAAGTATAGCCTCCAACACCTGAAAAACAAAGAACAACGACAAGGCCATCTGATTACGAACAAACCCCAATAAAAATCAACGAACAAAAACCCTAAATCAAGTATATTCAGAAGGAAAATTGTTCACCAGCTCTGACCCCAGATGATACGGCTGCTCTTCTAAGCCCTTTCTTCTTGATAATAAAGCTCGCCCCTATGAACCCACTTGAGAGCAAAGCCAGAATTACCCCCCTCAGATTGTCTTCGCCGAAACCCATATCGAAAATTTGATCCTTATTCTTCTGATTCTTCTTCTTCTTCTTCTTTTCTTCATCGAATTAATTACCAATCACAAACGCATCCACAGTCCAGATGATCATCATCTTCATCTTCTTCTCCTTTTTCTTTTTGTTTTTTGCTGCGAAATACAGTAGTCACGTTGACGATGTCATCAATCATCAGTACAGATAATTGCGTTTTGTCGCGGGAGGAAGGCAAGGGCCCAATGGGATCCACGCCACACGCGATTGACGGACAAGAAAAATCAAAAATGAAAAATTTTGTTGGATTTATTAATTACAATATATTCGGTAAGTGGATTGCGGATTTCGAACAACCGGCGGGTCAGTAACATGAATATAATATAATCGTTTCTCGAAAAGATTGTTTCCAATTTTAAAAGCACCAACAGTTATTCACCTTCGAGAATCTTGATCTTGATCTTGAAATATTTTAGGCTGTTATCTTATCATCTATCAAATTTCTCTGACGAAAAAAGAAGATCCAACTGTCGACTGCGACTAGCCACATGATACTGCCTAGTTGTTTCAAATTCTTTTACACTCCCATAAATGACAAACTATGAAAATTAAAAAATCTTTTCTTTCCATAAAAATTACAAGTTTTATACTCAAATTTGATGGTGGCGGTGGTTTATTTAGTTCATAAACTTCAGAAAATTTTAACTACATAAATGTAGTTTATTTATTCAGTTCATATTAGACACCTAAATTTAAGTTGAAGGATTTTTTTTTTAAGAAAGAATTTAAGTTTAAGGATTAAACTTATAATTTAGCAACCTACAAACTAATAATAATAGAAAGTGAACAACTAAATAAACTAAAATGGCACGGTTAATAAAAAAGAAGATTCCATAAGTTGTTTCAAAAGGAGGTATGTTACACGTGTTTATCCAAAAACTAACAACTTCTTTTCATCATATATTTGTTCAGTCATGTCAAATTAACAAATATTTATCCAATAAATATGTCACATCATCATTCTTTAACAATATTAACGACAACAAGATTTACAACAGAGAATTAGTTTTTACCTACTTTCTCCTTTAAGTAATATAGAATATCTAAAATCTTAATTGTTTCGCTTTGCCTACTTTAACTACATCTATTTTCAAGGGTCTCGTATTTTACACATTATGATCCTAGTTTTAATTTTTGTTTGTTTGTTTTTTTTTTTTTTCCTTTTCTCTTTCAGTACATGTGTTTGCATCTTCTAAGTTTTAACCACGTTGGTGAAGTTACTTATATTGAATATTTTGAATACTCGTCTCTTAAATTTCCTTTGTGATCGTTGGGCCCATTTATTAGCTTGGGCCTTAGTCTTGTGCTGGAAAATCTGGTGGGCTATTGGTTAATAATGGGCTCATTTATAACTTGTACATCGTTTTTAAGTGTGTCTAGGGACAATCTTTAAAAAAGTGCAACGGCAGGAATCACCAAATTTAATAACACGTTTTAAAAAATGACCAAAATATTGCAATAACGGCTAAATCGTTTTTTTAAATACTGATAAAATGTTTAGACAAATATACCCTTGTAACCAATTAGGTATATATGCATAATTTTAGGGATCTAAGATTTTTTATAATTGAAAAAACAACCAACCTTAATTTTAGGGAATCAACCGTATCTAATAAAATGTAAATGAAATTAAAATATTTATTTTAAATATAATTTTAAATTCTTAATTAGAATCTGAAAGTAGATTTTAAAAGAAATTCATAAAACTGTATTGGTGTAGATTTTAAAATTTACTCATGTCTAATATAAGATTTAAAAATAAGAGAGTAAATATAAAATTGATAAAACTGTGTTGGTGTAGATTTTAAAATTTAACCTCTATCTAATATAAGATTTAAAAATAATAGAGTAAACATAAGTAATACATTTATTGATTTTTTTAAAAAAGAAATTAGGGTTTAATAAAATGGAAAAAAAAGGCTTTTAACCTTCCTTCTTGCTTTTGACAGCTTCAGCCGCTGCCTCCTCCAGCCTGCATCTGTCACTGCTTCAGCCGCCGCCGCTGCTCCCATCCACGCAAAACACGCTGCAGCATCCTTCCTCGCTCTCACGCCGCCGCACCATCCACGCTGACGCACGAACCGCCGTCCCATCCATCAGTCGCCGAACCGCTGCTCAGG